ATTTACAGCCTCGGAAACCCTGTACAGGGTCGCTATGGGTCGGCACCGACTCAACGGCACTTAACAACAACAACAACAAGTGACTCTTATGTAGAGCAGAAGGAAACACTGCCCAATTCTGTGCCATCCTCTCAATTATTGCTGTGTGAGCCCATTATTGAAATCATTGTACTAATCCATCTCACTGAGCAGCTTTCCCTCTTTTACTGACCTTCTACTTTACCAAGTATGATGTCCTTGTCCATGGACTGGTTTCTCCCGATAACATGTACAAAGTATGTGAGAAGAACTTTGGCCTCCCTCACTCTTCTAGCTGTACTTTTAAGACAGATGGGTTTGTCCTTCTGATAGTTTGTTAGATATTCAGTATTTCCGCCTTACACTTTAACTCAAGGATCTCTGGTAGCGTAGTGGTTATGAGTCGTGCTGCTAACTTCAAGGTCAGCAATTCAAAACTACCAGCCGTTCCACAGGAGAAAGATGAGGCTTTCTGCTCCCGTAAAGATTTACAGCGTCAGAAACCCTATACAGAGTTGCTGTGAGTCAGAACCGACTCCACAGCACACTACCACCACCACCACCACCACCACACTTTAACTCAAAGGCATCAATTCTTCTTTAGTCATCCTTATTCATTGCCCAATTTTCCCATAAGAGGCAATTGAAAAATACCATGGCTTGCATCCAGGCGCACCTTAGTCCTCAAAGTGACTTCTTTCTAATTCAAATTAACACTTTAAAGAAGTCTTTTTCAGCATATTTGCCCGATACAATATATCATTTGTTTTCTTGACTGATGCTTCCATATGTCCACTACTAAACTCTTTAGAACTCTTCTATAAATATCAAAGTATATCAAAATTTAAAGTTTCAGAAATATGTGTTAAAGTGCTTAGAAATTAGAGACCACAAATGTACTTTCTAACCTTTATAAATTTAGCTTTAAAAGCATAATTGGGTTCATGTTGTTAACTTTGGTCATTGAGCTAGAGATGGTATCACTTGGTTGGTTGGTTGGTAAGTGGCCTCGATTTTTGGCATTTTTAAGCATCTGGCATTTCATCTTTTATCTATTACAGATTACTTGGTTCTAAAAGTAAACTTAATTTTTCCACTTTTTTTTTTCTTGTGTAATAATAAACACTTGATCTTTTTGAAAACCTTTTTTTACTATTTATTTTGAAATACAGATGTTATTTGAAGACAAATATATAATATTTGAGGACAACAGTATTAACACCAAAGTAAGCGTAATTAAATTCCTATGACACAAAATGGTTAGTATAAATAAACTAGCAAAGTTGAAAAACCTATCAACTGCAAGATGAAATTGTTTAGCTGATAAATCATAACTGTTATTCCTATCAGCTAAGGTGTTAAAGTTTACAAACTGTGTAACAAGGGCTTTGTTAATGTAAGTTTTTTTGAAGTGTACATTTAAAAAAAAATACTTTAAACCTCCAAGTAGTCACTGTTGCTATATGAGGGTCATGCATTGAATCAGTTAATATCTGTGCCATAGTGTCTTTTCTGTTTCATGAAAAGTTGGGGCAAGGGTTCTTTATGTTTCTAATGTTAATTATTTCATTTCTGTTTCCCAGAGATGGTCAAATTACTGCAATTCTAGACCAGAAGAATTATGTAGAAGAACTCAATAGACATCTGAAGTAAAGAATGAGTAACATTACTTTAATGGGGGTGTTCTTGGGGATGGAAGGAAAGGTTAAAATAATAGGCAATGAGGATACATTCAGATAATATTCAACCAATGTATGTAGAATCCTTACATGGTGAGGACTAAGTTCTAGGCACTGATCAAAGGCATTTTAACTGTTATGGTAACCTTTGGTGAAAGGCACTATAAGATTACTATGCAGTTGTAACTCTAGTGATTAAGTAAAGTGCTTTATGTATGGCAAGAAATTAATGCAGGTATGCTATTATATATAATATAATATTAACATTTACTATCTAGTAGATATTAATTCTTTTATTTCATTTAAGTATACACTTCAGTGCCTAGGATACAGCAGCCAACTAGGTAGACACAGCCCCTGTAATCTGTCTCAGAGCTTGTTAGTCTTTTAGGGGTTGGGGACACTACATAAATAATGATAAGTATAATGGATGTTTAAAAGGAAAGGATAGGTTATTGTTCTGTTTTTCAAGAGAGACAATTATGTTTTTTTCTGCTGTTAATAGTGCTACTGTAAACAACCTGCAGGCAAAAGTGGATGCATTAGAAAAATCCAACACAAAACTGACAGAGGAGGTAAGTGTTTTAGAAATTTTCTTTTTTTGATCAACTTAGAGAATTTCCATTTTAAGACAATAGTGTACATTAATGAAGCCACATATTTCTAGGAAACCTCAGCATGGAAGGACATCCCTTTTCAGTTGAGGCATATAGACACAGACTATGTAGCATCAAATAAGATAAAGATTTGGCAGTCACCCAGTGATTTACAGCTATGTGCCACACATCATCCATTGCGGCAGTGTCTAATCATATGCACTATGTATATCGGTATTATAAGGTTATAATAGAGTTCAGAAATCCTGATTGAAGAATAAACATAGCTGATATTACTAGATGTAGCAAATGCACAGCTTCCCTCAGATACATGGATGTCACGTCTTTTGTATGCAAAGTGATGGTGCTACCAAGTATTTAATGGTACAATAAATATGTAACCTATGATACATACACTTTGATGGTTATAATAAATTCCTGTGTTATTGATTTATGTGTGCATTGTACTATGTTGTTGTAGTTATTAAGTGCCATTGAGTTGGTTCCAACCCATAGCGACCTCGTATAGGGTTTCCAAGGAGTGGCTGATAAACTTGAACTGCTGCCCTTGCTGCCAAACCAGTCCAGTGCATTGACCCCAGCGCCACACTGTACATTCTGTCATTTTAATATGAACTTTTACCTACTTACTAATAAGTTTATCATGCTGTGACTCATAGGCAGTAGCATTCAATCTTGTGAATTGTGTCTCTTGAATGTTGTAGCATTGTCTATATATTTTATTTTATTTTGAAAATATTACCATGAAGTACATGATGGCTCCTAATCACAGCAAAATCAGTGCTCTGGCTATAGCAGCAGCAGTAGGCCAAAGAGAACTGTCAATCTGGAAGTGAAACAAAGGTTATTAAATAACAGAAAGGGGGAAAATCAGTGACTACTTTTGCTTGTGATTTAGGTATTCCCACAATGTCCAAATCACATAAAATCTTATGTCACAAAATGTATTGTGGACCTTAAGTGATATTTGTAAAACAGATAACCACATTTTTGGTATATCGTAATGAGTTAATAAATTTTTTATTTTATTAAAATACAATTTACAAGCAATGACATGTACTATACGTTTTTGAAAAATGTATATACTTGTGTAACTAACTCCCTATTAAGATATAGAAAAGGTGTTGGTAAACTGTGGCCCATAGACCAAATTCAACCCAAGTCTGTTTTTACATGGCCTGCAAGCTAAAACTGTTATTTGTCATTTTAAAAGAGCATAAAAAACAACATATAAGAGACAGAGTCTATCTATGTATGTCCTGCGATACATATTTACTCTCTGGTCCTTTACAAAAGGCCATTTCCTGATACAGACCATTTCTTTAACCTCCAAAAAAATATTTTCAATCTTTTCCCAGTTTTCTTTGTCCTAGAACTTCATATAAATGGAATCATAAATACTGTATATACTTTTGTATCTGGCTCCTTTCTTTTATTATAATATTTTTGAGATTCATCATTGTTGTATAATTCATGCGTTTTTTTAGGGGGGAGCATCTGTTGAGATGTTCATATGCTTTTATAACCCCTCCATTTTTTTGTGTGTGTTTGTTTTTTTTTATGTAACTGGTGAATTACATTGGTTGATATTTTGGATGTTAAAGCCATCTTGCATTGTAGTGTTAAGTTCCACTTGGCCATAGTATACTATCCCTTGTATTATTGTATTGAATTAGATGTAAATCTTTGTGGATTTTCATGTTCATGTCTAAGAGAGAATCTTAGTCTGGTTTTGTTTGTTTGTTTTTTGTTGTTTTGCAATGTCTGACTAATTTTAATATCTGGATAAGGATGACCTCATAAAATGAGTTCTTAAAGAGTTTGTGTGGAATTGATACTATTTCTTTTATAAAAGTTTGTTAGAATTCATCTGTGAAGCCATCTAGACCTGCAGTTTTCCTTATGAGAAGATTTTAAATTTTGAATTCAGTATCCTATGGTTAGTTATATAGTTATGCACATTCTTAATTTCTTGTGTCAGTTTTGGTAATTTACATCTTTCAAGGAATTTTCCAATTACTCATGTTGTCACATTTATTAGCACAGAGTTTATTTATCATGTTTTCTTATACTGTAATATCTGTAGGCTTTCCAGTGATATCCTTTCTTTTATTCCTGATACTGATCATTTCTGATGTCATCATTTATTTTCACTTTCATCTGAGTCTTCTCAGACCAACTATTTGTAACAATTAAACATTTCCTTGGCTTTATCAGTTAAAAACAAAATTTCTGGAAACGGATACAGTATGATGACATAAATGATAAATCTAAGAAAACATTTAATCCAGTAGGTATCCATTTAGCCAGTACATATTTTATCCATTATTACATATGTCCTTCTGGACCAGACTGGTCTGTGTAATTAATCTCAGTATTACAGTTCTGTGTAGTCTACCCCTTTCATTATAATGGATGGTTCTTTATGGCAGGGTCAGAATTTTTCCTTAGTGAATCCATTCCAGCAATATGGAAAACTTGTATCTGACCTTGTAGCGAATGGATAGATATATATAAAATATTCTTTTAGTTATTTTTAGATATAAAGATGCCAAGAAGAAAGTCAGGCACAGTTAGGAGAGGAAAGAGACCACAGGCATTGCCATTAGCAATAGAGAATTTTACCTAATTTGTTCACTGAGTTGTCAAAAGCACTTATCACAAAATATTTTATCTTGGTCCTCAGGGCTGGTGTGATCAGTATTATCACCCACAATACTTTAAATGGATACCACTAATTCCTTATGAATGGGTAGCAGAGAGAGAGAAATAACTAAAGAAATCTTACTGATATGATACTATTGTGTTTTACATTCATTTTCTCTATTTTACTGTTAATAAAACTGAAAAGGTAAGGTATGTAATTTATTCAGGTCACATTATAAATGGTAGAGGAGTAGTTTATACCCAAGTTTGTTAGCTCACAAGCTAGAATTCATAACCACTAGGCCATAGTGCACATTGCTCCTCAGCTAATACTTTTCTGTTGTATCTGCCAGGTGTTAGGTCTCATCTCTAGGTGTCAGGGATAAAAAAGATAAAAGACACAGAACCTATCCTCAAGGAAGTCACAATAGTGTAAAGAAATGAAAAAAGAGATGATTATAAAATAAAGTTACAATGTTGTTGCTGTTGCTAAGTCGAGTGGGTTCCGACCCATAGAAACCCTATATAGGGTTTTCATGGAGTGTCTGGTGAGCTTGAACTGCTGACCTTGTGATTCAGACCAACCTTGCAATCTAGTATATCCAAAGTGATAATGCAGCTATAGAAATTTGTATACAGTATCCGGAGTGCTGGTATGGCGCTGTAGAGTAAGCATTGAACTGCTAACCTCAAAATCAGTGATTCAAACTAACCAGCCACTCCTTGGAATCCCTATACAGCGTTGCTATGAGTTGAAACTGACTCAAGGGGCTGTCTTAAAGGGAGGGGACAAATAAAGAAAAGGGAGGAGACAACATGAGCAACATCACAAATATGAGAAATAAAGTGTCCCCAGGATTTGGTATGGAATGTCAAGGCAAATGAAACTGACAAAAAAAATGGGACAGAGTAAGGAGTTTGAATTTTATGATCTAAATTATGAATGGCCTTTGAAGATTTTTAAACAGAGACATGACATAGTCATAGTAGCATTTTAGAGTGATTACTTCAAAAGCTTTATGAACAATTAAGAATTGGAGCCAGCAAGAAGGCCTATACATTGACTGGCTTTATAATCTAGAAGATTGGTCAGGGGCTAACCTAAGAATAACATGGAAAACACTCGCATTGTATACCAGACCCAGCTCTCACTAGCTCAGAAGAGCCACTTACTAAATTTTTAGGAATTTGGGAACCAGTCGATGTTAAGTTGCAAACTGGAACTTGTTTTGTTAGGAGATCTGCTTGTTAAACATTTACCAGTATACAAAGGGGACTGAGGAATGTGCAGTAGATAAAGTTGATAGCACTTGGTAGTTTACAGATGAAAAGGATTAAGAGACCAGGCTATTGTCCAGGTGTTTCTAGTTTTGATGACTCATTGAAAAGTCATTCTGTGAACTAAAGATAAAGAATACAAGAGAAGGAACCATTTTAATCTAAGAAACAATATACCAGATTTACCGTAGATCAATGTGTACAGCCAGATTACTAAAACAGACTTGTAGTCAAAGTTATTTCTAGGTAAAAATAGTTCATTTCTTCCTATAGAACTACATCTGAGTAATATCTACTACAGCACATAGTTTCTTATTCTGACTGAGAATCTTTAGATGGCTCAGTTATCTAGTTGGACTGATGAGTAGACATAGCAAATGGACTCATAAAATATTTTTACTGCTTTTGTCTAAAGTAGCCTAGAGTTAATGTTTAGCATTTATTTATTACATATGATAATCATTTATTCATTCAACAAACATTTTTTGAGTGCTGTAGGATAAGCACTGAACTGCAACCACAAAGTCAACAGGTCAAACCCAGCAGCCAATCCATGGGAGAAATATGAGGCTGTCTGCTACTGTAAAGATTTACAGTCTCAGAGATCCTGGTGGCTATGAGTTGGAATCTACTTGATGGCTATGGATTTTGGGGGCATTTGTGCTACCAAAAATTGATTTGTATATAGAGGATTTGGAAAATCTCCACCCTTATAGATTTTACTTTCTCCTTGGGATTGTCTTAGTTACCTACTGTTACTTAAAAAAAGAAAAATGTTCTATCATATTTGGAGACTT